CCACAGGATAAATAGCCTCAAAGTAGTAGTCTTCCCAGCCCACATGACTAATGGGTAGCAAATTCAGGATTTAAAAACATGCTTATCTACTACAAATCTGTTTTATATTACTCTTTAAAATAAGAAAAGCAAGTTGGGCTCACTCCTGTAATCTTAGCACTCTGGGAAGCCTATGCAGGTGGATTACGTGAGCTCAGGAGTTCAAAATCAGCCTGAGCAAAAGCAAAACCCCCATATCTACTAAAAATAAAAATAATAAAAAAAACTAGCCAGAGGTAGTGGTACACACCTGTAGTCCCAGCTACTCAGGAGGCTGACCCAAGAGAATTGTTCAAGCCTAAAAGTTTGAGGTTGCTGTGAGCAATGATGCCATAGCACTCTACGTAGGGCAACAGAGTGAGACGGTCTCAAAATAATTTAATTAACTAATTAAATAGGAAAAAAAGATGATTTTCTACATGATAGATTTTAAAGATACAAAAATGTTTTCCAGTTCTCCAAAATACTTTCTGGATCTAAATGTTTACTCTTCCAACTATCAAGTACCGGAAACCTCAGCAGCCGTTTGCACCTTCTTTTGAGCTGGATTACTGTATCCCTTCCAGAGGTTCTGGCCCATATCTTATTTTCATAAATGGAAGAGAAAGGACAAAAAGACCAGGACCACTGTATTAAGTTGGAACCTTGCCCTTTGCCCAGGTACACCCAGATGGCTGGTGCAGGGAGTGGGAGTTCAAATCCAGCTCAGATTTTACCCATATCATAGTGCTATAAAGACAGTGTCATGTCTAATTTTCTTAAAGGCGTCATACAGGCTCACAAAGACCCTGAATTTAGGAAGAGAAGGGGAGAAAGTGGTTGGATGGAAAGCTTTTCAGATTCAATCTCTATCAGTAATTAATCAAAGGAATCGACATGTAAATTAGTAATGAGAATGTTTATTAATTCAATAAATTAGTGCCAGGGTAGGGAGATGTATAATATTTTGTTGGCACTGGGAAGTATAATTTTATTTCAGAAGAAACGATACAGTAGAACCATTAGCAGCACATTAATTTCCACTGTATGGAGGGCTGTTAGTAAGGCAGCCTGGGAATATTTAAAATACGGCTCTGCAGAAGATGGGAAGAGTAATAAATTCTCACATCTTTTAATTTTTGTAACAAAAACGCCTTAGTGTATTAAGAATAAAGCATCCTGACTGTGTATACATCAAATATTGAAAATCATCACACCATCACGGTGACAGATTCTGGGGGAGTCTCTGAAGAAACACTTTGGAACACCAAGCTGTCATCTTACCTTAATGTATATGACGGGAATTTTCCATTTTACAGAAGAATATCTTTGAAATTCTAACAATAATGACCCATTTTTTTAAGTAGCAGGTACCATACTAGGTCATATATATATATATATATCGCCTATCCTCCCAAAAAACAATACTTGGAAAGTTATATGTTACTATTTCTGTTTTGTCAATGAGGAAATTGAGGTTCAAAGAGGCTAATGGGACTTGTGTAATTTCATGTATCTAGTTATTGTCACATGACAGATTCAAATCTCTTCCATTTCAGATTTTAAACCTGCGCTCTTGCCACCACACTAAGGTCATCCTCTGAGAAAGTTTCTACCCAGGGCAGAAAGTGATATTTTAGTCAATTCAAGTTTTGATGTAAGCTACAAAGAAGAACACTACCTTAATGAACTATGGCAACTCATGCATTCTCCACGGTTTCTTAAAGTATAAACTTATTAAGCTACCATAAATTTAAAGTACATAAAGATGTGCTAAAAATCAACAAAGTTGATATGTATATATGCATATTGACACACCCATACACGTACATGTATATATACCACATTGTACCACATTATCAATTATATTCTATTGTTCTTATCATCTTAACTTCAAAGAGGCTACTGTGGGATATATATATTATATATAATCTCATTGGTAGTCTTTGTGTTCTAAGAAATCACACAGGAAACATGGAGTGACTACTTGCCTGTTCTGATAACTTTTGTCCATTGAGATGGGCCTGTATCACAGCGTCATTAACAAGCAAGTGGAAGTTCAAGAGCACGTGTTCAACGTCGTATGTCCCATGCATTGCATCCGACAGCTCTTCCAGTGACCGGATGTACGCATGCCAGTGTGGGTTCAGCTCTGCCATGTGTGCCAGGCAGCCTCTGGCGACGTTCAGGCAGTATCCCATGCAAGGCTTGCTGCGCGTCAGGCCCTGGCAGTGAGGGCAGTACTGCATCCTGAGGAGGGCTCTGCTGCACTCTTTGGAGAAGTGAATGTAGTCTGTGGTGTTGATCACTTCGATGCCCAGATTGAGCGCCTGTAGAAACGTGCGGCTGGGCAGCAGCGACTTCCCCATTAGCCCTATTATTCTTTTGGGAATATTACCAAATGGGCTAATGTCCCGGCGGGCCATCCGGATGCATTCTGAGTATTCCAGAGAACTGTCTGTCACACCAGGGTTAATGAGATGGTTGTAGACCAGAGGAAAAAGACTGTCAAAAAATCTGTTTACAAATTCTTCGTGATTAACATCTGCACCAAATAAATAGAGCCCCACATCAGTGAAGAACTCCTGGATTGAAACAGCAGCCTCTAAGGCCATGTTCCTGTAGGTATTGCAAAAAAGTATGCTGGTGTAATTTTCTGCTTGTCTGATGAGAGTTTCCAGGGTTTCTGTAACACAAGTAGAGGTAAAAGATGAAAATGCTCAGTATTCGTGTTAACACTCTTTGTCCAAGTGCTTCAGACACTAAGTGAGCGTAATGCATCAAAACTAATCTCAGGCTCTAAATCATAAATCATCTTACTTTAAATCAGGCTCTAAATCTAAATCATCTTACTTTACCAAATTCAGCTTCCCAAGGATAACGGCCAAACAACAATGGTCACTACATATCGAGACATATTATAGAGATGTATTACCTAGACTCATATAACATAGACTCTACTAAAAGGTTAAAAATCAAAAATCAATTCCATCCACGGTAGTTTCTTTATTTTGTTCTATAATCATGCCTAACCTCCTAATGATAGAAAAAAGGTGTCACTGAGAAATGTGTTTCATATTCTGAAATTATTTACAAAAGATGATAACATTAAATACTTGATTTACCACCTACTACATTTTTCATAGTTTTTCATCTTTTTTTATGGTAGAATGACAACCAGGCAGGCCAGGCGTGGTGGCTCACGCCTGTAATCCTAGTACTCTGGGAGGCGAGGAGGGTGGATCACTTGAGCTCACATGTTTGAGACCAGCCTGAGCCAGAGGACCCCGTCTCTAAAAATAGCCAGGCATTATGGTGGGAGCCTGTAGGCCTGGCTACTGGGGAGGGTGATGCAAGAGCATCACTTGCACCTGAGAGTTTGAGGTTGCTATGAGCTATGAGACCACAGAAGTCTACCAAGGGTGACAAACTGAGACTCTATCACTCTCCCAGGAAAGAAAAATCAGGAGATCATATACACTAGTTGCTACAAAGAAAGGTGAGATTCCCACCTGACAATCCTCAGACCTCTTAGCATGTTCAAACTAAAAAAAAAAAAAAAAAGTACAGCATTTTATTATCAAACTATCCATAAATTATTACACCTTGATAAGCAGTTGGAAAATCATGAATGCTATCATTTGATGAAAATAAATACCACATTACCAATTATATTCAGTTGTTCTTGTCATCTTGTCTTCAAAAATCTTACTGTGAGATATTTTATTTCTCACTTAAGTAAATGATGGCCCTAAATCAATTTCTCCACAGAAAGAACCAATAAAAATTAATCCACAAATGTAAGAGAGAAAATCTAATAACGGGAGGTTGAAGGAATCAGCAAGTCAAAATAGTATTTCAAAATGATGGCGTCAAGCTGCAGTAAACACCTGGGATATACTGGCAATGATGTTTTATAATCAGCTTAAATATTGATACTGAATGATATCAATATATGATTAATTATGAAATATAGTCATAAAAATTACCTGCCATAGGCCTAGTCTCGTACTTGCTCATAATTAGATTGTAAAAGACCATGTAATAATTCAGTAATCAAACCACTGTTTGAGTATATCATAAAAAGAGATGGAAGAATAGTAGAAAAATAAAATGGAATAATAAAAGCAGAGGTGCAGAAAGTTAGTAAAGAGGCAGGACTGAGTCATGAGTACGCCACAGTGTCTCCCCTCCTCGCCCCCCAAAACAACATTTTCATAAAGAGCACAGACGGGTAAGAACACAGTGTCGTGTCTGCTGATACTCGTCTGATTCTGATTCATGTCGGGTTCCGGGCTTTAGCGTGTGAACCAAGGAGCATCTACCTACTCTGCAATCAAAGGCAACAGCTTTAAAAGGACCCTGAAACTCTGTTGCAAGACAGAGCACTATAGGACAAACTCTGGATTGTTACCTAGGCAGGTCTCCTGTTACCTATGGGTCTCTAGTACCCACAGAGGGGACACGCTATACACTGGTTACTCAGGAAAGATGTGCAAGAATCCAAATAATAGCTGAAGAATCCAAAGTCTTCAAATGAGATTAGTAGCTCTGCCAAGTTTCCCCCACTGTCCTCATCATCTGGGTTGCACAGTGGAAACACACAGATTTTCAGCCTCTGCACTGGGAATTCTAACTCAGTAGTTTTGTCTTGGTGCAGGGATCTATATTTAACAAGCAGCCTAGGTGATTCGTTCAATTTGGCCAGTTTTTAAAACATTGTGATTGCAAATATGTTTTGTTTAACATTCTCTCTGTTCTTGCAGAGTCATTCAGTAAGCAATCCACTCGGCCTACCTGCCCCCACAACTGCACTCTCAGCCACTACCTCTGCCTTCCCAGGTCCACGGGAGGGCGTGTGAAAAGTCAACCTGAACTATGTAGCTTGAACTAAAATGCTAATGAAGCTAAGGTTGTATTTTCTCCATAAAATAGGCTCTCTTTTTTTTTTCTCAGCAGCTTGTGTGTGACTATAAATCGTGAGGTAGGTCCCAATTTTATTTACTAATGAGTTAAATAACAATGTTTGCAGATTACTTAATTTTTTTCAAAATAACAAGGATGGATTCAAAGGTACCCAGCGTCACAGGCATTCTGCTGTGTCCCCGCCAGGGTTTCTGAGGACTGCTCTAAAGACGTGTTCGTGGAAGTGACACTTGACATTCGTCATCCGTGGAATAGAGGCTGCACGTGGCTGACTCAGCAATGCAAATGTGCCACCTGATTTCTGCCAACTCTAACTGATCCTTAAAAAAGTAACTTTTTAAAAGTCAAAAATAAAATGTTTCTTTATAAACTTAAATTGAATTACTTTATAACGATGATTTGGAAATATATGGGGTCTATCTTTCAGTAGCTACTGTCTGTCTTCTGCAAATTAATGTATTTCATGAAAAAAGAGCTTCTTATTATTTAATGTATGAGTATATATTCAAGATAAAAATAAGTAAATACTTCCAAATATTGTTGTTCCTCTTTTACGCCTGCTCTATGCTGTTGATAGCAAACTAATTTGATCACTACATGAATAATTAAAAAATAAATTCCTGAACTGTCTATGGTTATTTTATTTTAGACTTTGTTTTCTCTGATTTAGTGTTATTCCTTAAGAAAAAATAATAAAAAACTGATAAAGTTTTATGACTAATATTACAGTGAATATTTTAAACTTTTCCCTATTATTGCATGGATTAAAATTTCAGTGTTCATGACTGTGGATTGATTTTCCTACCCTCTGAAGGGCAGTCCGTGTGTTCTCAACTACGTGCTGTATAATGATGCTTTGATGAACAACAGACCACATGTAAGACATTGTTCCCACAAAATTACAACAGAGGTGACAAATTCCTATTGCTGAAACATTTCTATACCTACGGAGGTTACACCCATCATAAAACCATAGTGCAATCTATTACTCATATGTTTGTGGTGATGCTGATGTAAGTAAGTCTATGCATTGCCAAGTGTGTGAGAGTCACTAGGAAAGTTTTGAGACAGACTGTGTTAGGATCCGTTATTTCACTTCTAGGAAACAGAGTCGAAGCGTCCTTTCTCGTGCAAGTATCAATTTCTTGGTATTTCTGGAGGGCTTCATTTGTTTCCATCCATGTGGGTTTCACATTTCTTGATTTTTGTAAATCTCATCATGACCCAATTATAAAAGTATAGCACATACAGTTATGTGCAGTACACAGTACTTGACAATGATAATAAGTGACCAATAGTTTAGGTATTTATTGTACTATACACTCTTTCTTTTAGAGTATATTCTATTCTTGTTACTTATTAAGATAACGCTAACTATAAAACAGCCTCAGGCCCTTCAGGGGGGATTCCAGGATAGCTTTCCTATCATCCAAGATGACAGTTCCTTCAGTGCTACTGTCCCTAAAGACCTCCCAGAGGGGCATGATGTGGAGATTAAAGGCAGCAATATTGATGATCCTGACCCTGTATGGGCCTGCGCTTATGTGTTTGTGTCTTCACTTTTAATAAAAAGTTTAAAAAGTAAAAGGTAAAATAAATTCAATATTAAAAAGCTTATAATGTAAGGACATGAAGAGAGAAAATATTTTTGTGCAGCAACTTCCCGTCTTCCAAGCTCCACTCAGGGAAGTCCCCTTACAAGTGTACCTTTTTGTAAATGTTATACTCAATTTTTCACTGTTCTTTTTCTATGATGAGATATGTTTACATACACAAATACTTAACTTTGTGTTACAACTGCCTGCAGGATCCAATGCAGTCACGTGTACAGTTTGGTAGCCTAGGAGCAATAACATTCTACCGTGTGGCCTAGGAGCCCAGCAGGCTAGACATTTAGATTTGGGTAAGACACTCTATAATGTTCACACAATGATGAACCTACTTAATAATGCGTTTCTCAGAACACATCCTTATAGTTAAGTGACACGTGACTGTATCAACATCCAGATTATTTCCTTAATATCTAAACACAGAATGGATTTTAAAATTTGATTTATTGCTAGTTTTTCACTATATTAACTCATTGCAATAAAAGAAATTTTAATTTTTGCTTTTCGTATGTTTTAAATTTGATATTGAACCATGCTGGTTAATTCGTTACCTAAATATATATTAGTTATACATTTTTGTATATTTGTGATCATAAACATTCCCTAAATCCAGTTGATGAATAAAACTCTAAATTGTTGTCCTATATACATTTCATTCCTCAATGCTTAGAAATAAATATATTTTTGTGAATTTTGTGTCCCAATGAGTTCATAAATTTTAATATATAAACATATCAAAAATGAATGATCTAGAAGCCATATATTTTTTATTCTGTTACTAATTTTTAAAGTAAAGCTCCCAAAATTCAAAATTGTATTTATTAAAACTAGTTGTTTGTACTAACTTTGAATTTGTAGAACTATCACTTTCATCTAATATCATGTTTACCAACAGGTTGAATGTTTCCATTTATGAAATTAAAATTATGATATTAGTAAGAATTTAAATTTTCAAAATGATTATCAAATAACACATTTGCTGCTTGCTCTGCAAAACAGTAATAGATACATCATGTCATTGTTTATAAATCCAAGCTAGGTTAGGTGGTGGACTAACTCATTGATTCTTAACTATTAAAGAGAAACTATACAGTTCCATTCATTACAAAGTAAATACGTAAGAAATACCCCTTACCCAAGCTACATAAGT